TGGGGGGGGGGGGGGTCGAGAATCTCGGTCTTTCTGCTGGGATGGTGTATCCCTCTCAGCCCGGGTTGGCCTTGACAGGCAGGGTCAGAAACCAGCCTCCTAAATTACCTAAACTGTGTCGATGCGTGAATAAAACTCGTACAGCTACATTGTGTTTTACAAATGGAGGTGACAATTAGTTTTGGGTAGTAGTAAAATGTTTGTTTTCTCATGTCAGTGTTATTAAAGTTTCACAACGAAATGGCACCTTGTTCATTGTAAGGTCGCTTTTCTTTGTTGTTACGAATTTTTTCTCCTCATATCAACTGTTTTTTTCCCGTGTGATGTACAAATCCTGACATTCGTGGTACTGAAAGACTTGATTCCGCGTTTCGCAAACTTGACCATATCCCTGAAAACCGATATGCAATATTATAAATATGACTCTACAGACAAAGACAGTCCGGGGACGTTACCACCCCCTCCCCTCTCTTCCCCCATGTCCCTTTCCTCGAAACTCCTTAATTGTATTTTCTAACAACAAATGGGTCTAGATTTTTAAAAATTGTTCTTCATAGATTTGTAGGAAATACTATAAATTTCCGTCACGCAGAAAATGGGATTGTTCACAACACTTTCCACTCCTCACACATATTTTGCATTCTCATATGGTCTACGTCACTGCTCGCCAATGACACATATTATTAGTGACAAAACGCGCCATAGAAATTAATTTTAGAGAGAACACTTTTTTTTGCTCTAAAAGTTATCAAAACTTGTGTTCAATAAGCATAATGCCTCGTTTAGAAAAAAATGACGAACTTGCTTTTAAAAGTGATATTGTCCCAGCTGTAAACCTCTTAACATCTGTAGAAATCATCCACTTGAAGGTTTTTATTTGTATCTATTAAGGAATTGTCTAGAATACAGCTAACTGGTGTTTACAAAATATTGATCTGTTGAGACAAATTGATACAAGTCATTATGCAAAAGCTGAAGAGTTTATTTTCTATAGTTCAGGAAGTATTTGACAATAAGTTGCGCAGCGATTTTTGACTCACTATATAATTGTGCCGTGTTTGTGCGACTGGCTTCACTTCTTTTCTTTGTACACAATCCACGCACACGTACGACCATACAGCTGGTCCACTGTTATGTCGTTATAGTGCGGTGTTGGGCTGAGGGGGGCTGGTGGGGGGGGGGGGTGAAGGAAAGATTAAACAAAAAGACTGTTTTAGATTAACACCCTGATCTTTATTACTATTTTTTTTAAAAGGTCCCTTGTATACCAACGCTCCCTGAGGGTAGAGCTGGGCGAAGAATCGACCCCGGAACAGATTCCCGCGATTAGTGCTACCAAAGAGAGTACATAACAAGAATGGTCAACTCAGCTAAAAAAAAGTGTCTGCCGGAAGTCCGCTTTTTGCTTTAGATGGCGCTGCAGTCTGTTTTGAAGTTCTCTTTCGTTTCTCCAGAAGAAGAATAGGAATAACACCTCATTGCGTGCGCAGATCGACTGTTGTTCATCAGCAGTTCGGGTTCGTTCAGTGCGGAGTTTTAGGGTTTAAAAAAAAAATTGTAATGACCTCTCGCCTTTCAGTCTAACATCAAATTAAACGAAGAAAGCAGTCGCCCCCTCCTCCAGAAAATATTTTTTGTCAGTGTAACCATTTTAAAAAAGCCTTCTTCCGAAATTTGAATTCTTGTTAGTTTCATTTTGATATTTTTAACACAAGTAGGGTAACTATGTTCGCAAAGGGTGCACATTTGCGAAGAGGGCGCCACCGAATTTTGAGCACTCTTTTTTTAATTGGCTCAAAGAGAGGAGTGGCCCCTCTTGTTATGTACACTCTTTGGTGTTACCCAAAGAAAAGTTCCGATCACGTTTTAGGCAGACCAAAGGTTACAAGTTACTTTTGTTAATTAAAATCTTTGTTTTGATGTTGGAATTTCTTTGTAAAAAGAAAAAGTTGATGCTTTGCAGTATTCTAAATTCAAAGTTATCTAAAATCCTGAAGATGTACGGGGCTAGCCAGGTAACTAACTGGAGAAATCACATCATTGGAACGTAAATGGGTTCGGAGTCGATTTCTACGATTTCTAGCTTTCAATAATCGGTAGCCTTACTGCCCATCACTACCTGACGGTCAGTTTAGGGGGGCGGTGGGGTGAGGGGGGGGGAGCAACCTGGCTCATCATGAGATGTAAACCCCGCTGAAGAGACAGGAGTCTCCGACCAGAGTGATCGGGATCTGCGAGGTCTGGGTGATCTTGACCCTCGCCACGTCACCCTTGAACATGTGGGTAGCGGCGGTGACAGAGCCCTGGTTCAAGTCCCCGGTGGTGAAGGTGCCGGCGTAGGCGATGATCGAGCGCCCTACCTGAATGCCAGCCTGTGGTGGGGGAAGGAGGGGAAGGAGGGGGGAGGGAACA